GACATCGGACTTGCTTTAGGGGCAATCCTGTGAACAGGGAGTAAGACTCTGTGTGAACTTGGCAGAATTATCTGCAAAGTGCTCATCCCACAACCTGCTGCTGATGTTTCTGTGTCTGTTTAGCTTGCCTGTTACATGTTGCAGTGTTTTGCTGTGCTTCCCTTGCTGGTTTTCTCAGCTCTTTCTGAGATAAGCTGAACCTATGTGCTCTGTGCAGCAAGCCCAGCATGCCTGTGATGTTTGCATAATGGGGCCTTAGAGAAGGAATTTTTTAGAAGGTACACTAAACATAATGATGATTGTCTTTAGTTATGTAATTTGTGTTTTGATATTACTCAGCCATCTGATCACTGTATTCTTGAGAGTGCTTGGTTAGAACAGCCTGCCCTTACAATTTTTAATATTGCAATTTATTATGTGTTTGACCATTTCTTCTGGAGTCTTTTCGCATGGAGTCAGAGTGGTTTTTTCCTATAGCAGCCTGTTATCTTGATCCAGAAACTGCAATTTAGGTTGCAAATAAATAAAATTGTATTAGGGATTTTTAATTTGGTTAGCATTCCTGTCTTCCTCAGAGAAACTGCCATTCTCTGATATTGCTACACATAGATCCCCTATGTCATTTCTCAGCTGTGAGTGTCGCTGAGCAGAGTATATTGATCATGAAGACCTCCATAGTCATCTCAAGGATATGTCATAAGGAATTGGTTTTTAAGTGATCTTTAATGGTCAGATTCATTTCATGAGTGCTGACTGCAGCCTGTCTGTAGGCTCTGGGACCATTGTTTTTACCTGTCATAGAACCATATCTGGTTCGGTTATTGAACACATGGTATTTAGGATTTGCCTGGGTCTCTTGGGCCAGCATATAAAGATCAGGTTCTAATCTGGGTTTGAGGAAACCCCTGATAACATTAACGTTTATGAATGGGGTTCACAAGGTGTTCGGTCCTCCGCATTCCAGACAATTGCTCATATTTTGCTGGAGCAAGTAACTGTGTTTAGATTGAGGTCCACAAAACATTAGGTAGGCTGTGAATTTCAGACATCTTCTTGTTGGATTTAACCTGTGTGGGTTCTTCAAAGTCAGTGTTTTGCTCAAGTTTCACTCCTCTCTCTATATAGTAGAGTCCTCAGAATAGCTGTCCAAGAAGAAATGGAAGATTCCTATGCAAATTAAAATCTAATTCCAATCTCAGCTGCAGTTTTAGATTCATTCAGTGTAATTCTACACTGATAAAAATAGATAGTCCGAGGCATCTATGTTGCTAAGTGACAGGTTATGCTCATATGTTGCAGATAACTCTGTGTGTGTGTGTGTGTGTGTATGTGTATTTGTCTTTATTGGTTCCAGTTGGTAGTGGGTAATATGTATATATGGTGAAAGGGCAAGAGCTACAGCAGTCTTGGCTTCTTCTCTGCATCCACTATATGAAATAGACTGCAGATGTTTTATAACCTTGAATCTACACCACGCCAGCCGGTGTCAAAGAGACTAGCTGTTTACAGTCTACATCTGTCAACTTTAGTGAAAATTTCACAGACGTCTTTAGTGTCTTGCAGTTGAAAAGTTTAGCTTCATCTAAGGCTAAACTAAACAGAGATGTTGTATGTAAACATTGATCTGTCTATACATTTGCCCAGAACTATGAAGAAATGAAACCTTGTAGTTCTGTGCTGCTTTTGTTTGTTTGTTTTACCTGCTTCTTCAATCTGGTTTATACTGCAGGGTTGGACAAGAGAAGAAAGTATGGTGAAACATTGTCCAAAATGTCTGTATTTAGGACAGGGAAAATGCTGTTAAAGCCTTAGTGTTGCTGTGGTAAGTGTCAGAACCTGCATTGGTTCTCAAAGCATCCCAGAATGTGTCCTGGGAGGTGATGCAATGCACAGTGTACAGTTCTCCCTCTTCCAAGTAACAGTGTTTTTCTACACCATAGGCTTTGGCTCAGTGCTCCAAGGCTCGGTTTTCAAAAGTGCTGGCACCCACAGTGCTATTTAAAGTTAAAAGGAGTGCTGGCTGCTCAGCACAATTTAAAATCAGGCCTCTGTGCTCAGAAAAAGATTTTTTTTTTTTTAGCAGTCACAAGATTTAAGTGACTGGTCTGTGTTCTTCTAGACACCTTCCGCAACAAAACATCTTGTCAGTACTTGATAGATTCCTGGGAATTGCTGGCATATCTTGTTTTAACTCTTGATATCCTTTTCTTTTTCTTTTTCTTTTTCTTTTTTTTTTTTGTCAGCATTTTTACTTTTTTAGTTAATATGCAGGGAGTAGAACACTTGGCATGTGTAAATGAAATGAGTGCAGCTAGAATAGATTTACTTCTCTGTGATATTTTATCCAATTAGTCTTTTTTTGTTAGATTGAATGGCAAGACATTAATTTCTGCTGAACTGCCTAAGGGTTAGAATAAGAAGTAGAAAAATGTTCCCTTGCCTTTAATTTTTTTTTACGTGTCCAGTTGACATTTGCAGTTACTGAGGTCTCATATTTGGGCATATTGGTCACAGTCGGTGCTTCCCTGTGTTCCCACTGTTTTGTTGCTCACCATTATATTTCTTCTTGAAGTCAATAGTCTAATCTTACCTACTTTTTATTTTTTTTTAAAAATGAAAGCTTCAGTTAAAGATATATTTCCTGGATAAAAGGGCCACATTCATTTGTTCCCTGCCTTGAACAGTTTTGTTTGATCATTCCCTTGTTTTTTTTTTTTTTTTTTTTTTATAATATTCCCTTTTTTTTTTTTTTTTTTTTCTTTTTGCTCACACACAACTCTTTTAAGCCAAGCAATTCATCAGGCTTCTGTGGTAAGTAGATCAGTGAATCATTTCACTGTATTTTCATAGTGCCTTCTGATTAAAAAATGTTTTGGGTTCAAGCTCTTCGGTTTTAAGGCAAATATACTGCTTCAGCATGGCTCTGTGGGGAGTTGTGATTCCCTGGGAGCCGCTTTGAACTGAAACAGCAAGGTAGGCAGTTTGCTGCTCTGTGAGGCCAGCAGTTTAATGCCTGGTCTTCAACTCTTGGATTAGCAGTATCAGTATTTGTGGCAGAAGGGAAAGAATCTTTGCCATATTTTCATGATCTCTACGACTCTATACTAAAAAGAATTACTTCTTTGAAGCTTATGTTTGGCTTTTGACTGAGCTACAGCCTGAAAGCAGTTCAGTATCAGCAGCAGTATTAGTATTTTTTATAGCAACATGCCTTACACAGTTAAGAAATCTTCGCTGTTTCCTCCTTAAAGCAACATTATTTCCTCTTCCCTCTTCTTTTAGAATGTACTAAAAATAACTGTAGTATTTGTTACATTTTACCAAACCAACTTCAAGCTTCATTAAAATTGCGGAAACTGAATTGTTCTAGTATAGTCTTGTAAGCACAATGAAATTAGTTGATACATGAATAGCTTAGAGCTGAAATGAAAATATAAATCTCCAGCATTTTGTAAGAGTGTTTAAGGAATCTGACCACCAGATTTGGGTCAGATCTGTCTGTGCCACAGTCGCTGTGCAATGTTGTCATTTCTAATTTGGTAGCCATCTAGGCCTATTTTATCCTGATCCCTGAGCTCTGATCCCTAAATCAGGAACAATTATCTTTCTGGCTGAAAGAGTTAAGAAAACAGAGAAAGAAATGGGTTCTTGCATGCTACGAAATGCCACTTTCATCCTTAATTCTCCCCACTTCCATTCCTAAGTGCCTGTACGTCTCTCTGCCAAGGGTTCCAGTGCACACAGCATGAAAGGATGACGAGAATTATTGAGCGTAAAGAGTCATGTCTGAGCTACAGCAGAATGCTGTGTGCTAGCTGTAGTAAAACTGAAGATTTTTTCATACAACAGTCAAAAGGCATATTTTGTCTCTCTACCACTGCTGGGATGAATAACAGAAAAGACGGTGCATTAAATCCTGACAGCAGTAAAATGGCCATCAGGTGGCTCTCAGCAATTTTATGAACAGAGCGTTAGTACAGACATATTTTTGCACCCCAGACTCCCAGCTGTGATTATCTGTACCAGTAAGAATGCATCTTTTTTTTTTTTTTTTTTTTTTTTTTTCCCTCCTACAGGGCTGTCTGTTGTTTTTCAAAAGATATTTTCAACAGTATTATATTATACTTCAAGCAGTATCTATACAGCTGGCACATGACAAGCAACGGGCAAACTTTCTGTGCTCTCAGGCGAGAGTTCCAGCATTTAACACAGAGATTACACAGCCCTTACTCACAGAGGACGTGCTGAATATTAATCCTAATAAGCCTTTACTGGCGATCACCAGGCCCTAATACGGAGATCATAAAAAGCCAGTGGCAGAAAATCTGCCATCTTCTGGCCACGGAGAAGAGTATCTGCTGCACCGGAGTCACACGCCAGCCGCAGGGGCTGCTCATCCTGCAAACCTTTGCAGCAGCAGAGCTGAAGCTGAACTGCTCAGAGGTTTGCTGGCAGCAGGTTCTTCCCTCAGAAAGTGTTTTGTTATAATTAAAGCCTTTCTAGGGGAATGCGTCAATGAGAAATTAAAATGTTCAGTTCTAAGAATGGAAGAAAATTCCATGTCGTTTATTTTTCATTGGAGCGCTTGATTTTTATTTCAGAATGATTTCTTAAAAATATTTTGGGTATTTTAGAAATATTTATTTTTATACATTAGAAAAAATGAGAAGTCAAAATTGATGTTAGTTTGCTTATTTTAAACATTGATGAAGCCTCACACCATCACTAAATACATAACAAATCCAAGGCAGAGAAGGATCTAGGAGTTCTGTCTTTTATTACGTTACTCTGACCACTTAATCTGTGTGTCACTACTTGTGGATTTACACATATTGTCCATGCAGGGCATGTGCCAAGGCTGTGATCTTTTCCTTCAGATGAGAGAAATGTGTTTGCATCCTTATTTCTTTTCTTAGAACTCTGCATGAGTTACTTAAGTTTCTACAGTAATTTCAAGAGAAACTGTTTCAAGTTTAAACTCTTTTTAATAATGCCACATTATTAACACACACACAAGATCCACTTCTAACCTAGATCATTCTAGTCATTTTGAAGGAAAAAGAAAAGAAACAAACAACTAAAGATAATTCTCTAGATATCCCTTTGCCTAGCTTCATAACTTTAAATCTGTCATGGGCTAAAAAGAAGATAGACTTTGCATTTTATCCTGCAAGGAATGAAGTGAAAGACAAAACTACAAATCTGGTTAGCGGTAGATCCAAGAGTTCTCATTTTTATATCTTACCTACCATGAAGCTCCTGCTAAGTTGCTTGGTTTGTTAAAGGTTACTAGTATATCATCCAGTTGCAGCCGGTACTTTTTTGTATAATATATGTATATATAGCAGACCATTAAACTGTGTTAAAGAAATGTGTAGATACAGGTAACCAGGGTGAACTTAGGGACATTTTCTAATTTTGGAGTTCATATCTTTCAAAATATAATTTTTATGTAGCTTTTGCCAAAATTAATTTATAAACTGAGAAGAAATTGCCCATGGGAGCTGATGCTGCCCTTGCCTGCCTGCAGGGTCAGCAGGGTAGGCTCTTTCCATCAGAGCTGGTAGGTGCCACTGGGCGGGCAGGAGGTGGCACCACGTGGCTGGCACCCATGGGCAGCTGGAGCAGGGAGGCTGGTGTGCCCTGCAGCAGGCTGGGCAGCAGGGGGACATTTAGGTCCAAGTGGGAAGTTAGTTCTGTGACTTGTAGGGAAGTGTCCTCTCAGGGTTAGAGCCACCTGCAGTCTTTGGCTGTTGGCTTTTGCATCTGTCTCCTTTCTTCAGCTCCTGCCCTTTTTGCTTCTTGACTCTGCTGCCCCTATCAGGTCTCTTGTCCATCCCATTCACCCTGTTTCCACCCTTGGCACCAAGATTCTGTTCTGTTTCTGTTCTTCGTGCTCCTGTTCTTCTTTCTGCTCGTGCTCCTGTCCTCTCCAGCTCTGTCCTCCGACCTCTTCTTGTAAATATCTCCTCCTTTAAGAGCCTCCCCTCCCTCTCTGGACAAGGCTTCATCTGTTTGCTCCACATTTGGTAAGCAGTCTTCATCTGTCTTGTTCTTCCTCAGCGGTATGGTGATGACAGTAGAGGGGTAGTATACAACAGAAGGGCACTTTTCTAGCTGTTGTTTATATAGTCTTGATGTCCATCTTTGCAGCTGTGTTGGAGGATCCTTAGACTGTAGTTTTCACTCTCTGTGGTCCTTTGCAGCAGAACCAGGTAAATGTGAACCATTCATAGCTCCTCACCCTTTCAATAACTTAGAAGATTATTGAGCAGCAGTTCAAATTGGTCAACTGAGCTAATGTTAAAGTATTTATTTGGATTTTTTTTTCTGTCTGTTTTTCCAGGTAATGTGTTAACAGATCCATACAATGTGAAACACTGCATTTACCAAAACATTATTTGCCAGAAACATTTGGTACTTTTTAGCTAAGCTTCCCACCAGGAGCTCAGCCTGTGGTAGATTCCCAGAGTTAAGCTACCTCTTGTAATGTAAGAGGTCAGACAACCTTTTGGTATCCCAAGTGTTTGCAGTTCTGTCATCCAATCCACAAAATTTGTACACTCTGACACATGAAAATCTGTCCATCAATAGTGCCACTGCTGTTCAGTTAATATACTACCCATGGGGAATATGCTTTATTTATGTTTGTCAGCTGTCCCTCTAAACTCTTTCAGCAAGACCACCTGCCAGTGATAGACTGATGGGAATATTAATTAAGGACATTGAGGAATAAACCAGGTTCCTGTATTTTGTTTTATATTAAAAAATATTCAGTCCAGTAAATAAGAAAAATATTGTTTTAAATACCTAGAGGAGGCATCCTTCTATATTGGCTTGCTTTTGTCTTACTCATCAGAAATAGTTGGTTGAGATTCTTCATGCAATTTGCAAAATTCTTTATGCCAACCATCTAAATGTAACATAGGGAGATTTGATGCAGTAATTCACTGTGGGCTTATAGCATCTTGAGGCATCTAAGGTACTTATAACTATAAAGTCTGCAGCATTAAACTATTGACTTACACTGCACTCCTCAATAGGCTGGGTCTGCACCATGATGCACTGCCTGCTTTCCAGCTTGCCCTGTGTGCAAAGGTAAGCAAACATGCACACATGGTCTTAGGCCTCCAGAAGTGCTGGGGACCTATTTGAATATCCTAGCTAACATAATAGGAGCCTTTTAAGATTTTTATAGATTTTAAAGGACAATAATTTGTTCGGTTATCAGTGTGTGGCCTCAGAATAGGATCGTATAATGCTTGAATTACTCTAAAGCGTCTGAAAGGTCAAAGCTTGTGTCTTCATTTTGGGAAGGATTTGAGTTTTCTGTTGCTGGACTGGTGTTTTCTGCTTCCAAAGGTAAGAGGTCTTCATCTACCAGTTCTCTGGGCAAGTTAGGAGGAACTGGGAGGTCCATAATTGGTTTCCATGGTTTTCCAGGACATCGAGGAAGAGAAGATTCTGAGGGATCTGGCAACCCATTAAATAAAAGTGTATCAGAAGGAGTTACTGTTTCTACAGGAATACTAATTTCCTGCCTTGCAGCCCCAGGAGTAACTAGCTCTGACACCATTTCAGCATTGGATGGTGGGAGGGTTTCCTCGTGATTAAAAGCCCTTTCATCCGATTCCTCAGAAGATTCAGGTTTGGGATGTTTGTGTTTACCATGTTTACTGTGTTTTCGATGCCCACACCCGTGGCCAGTTCTGCGCCCGCAGTCAGTGCCCTGCCTGTGCCTCTCGTGGGAATCCTGGTGTTTTTTAAGTCCATGCCCATGTTTGTGCTCATGTTTGTGCTCATGTTTGTGCTCATGTTTGTGCCTGTGTTTATGCCCGGGGTCACCTTCACCTTCTGCTCCGGGTTCACGCTCTGTTCTTGTTTCCTGGCTGGGTGCTTGGCTTTCTGATTTCTTTTTATCGCGGGATATTATTTCACCTGGCTGATAAGCAAGGGATTGGCTTCGGAACGGAGTGAATCCAGGAGGCCTTCTTGCAAGGAGCAACTGAAAAACATGACAATAGTAGTTAGCTGTTTTGTTGTACGGGACCAAAAATAGTTGAGAATTTGGCTCACTGCAGTATGTGAGTGAATTAGCAAAAGATTTTTGAAGTAAACTGAATCTGTTCAGTCAGGGAGGAAACTCTAAAATCTGTTCCTGCAGAGACTGACAACTCTAAGCAGAAGGAAATCTGCTCCTCTACTAACATGAAAAGAGTGGTAGATGCTTTTGAAACCTGTGTATCTGTGGTATGTAGTTTTTATATTGCCAAATACATTGTTGTCACATTTTTAAAATATATTATGAAGAATGGTTCAAAGGAACTGATGGGGCTTATTACTTTAGAGCTTAACTGGTAATGCAAAGAAGCAGCGAATAGGCAAGATGTTCTCTGTGCTGCTGCCTTTCTTGGCACTTCTGCAGTCCCTGTGTTGTCTGCTGTCTTATGATGTGTCAAAACAGACTTTGATGGAACAGGTTCATTTAGTTTAGACAGGGAGGAATGGGGCATTACTGAGGTAGTTAAAAAAAAAAGAAAAAAGGTACATTCCTTTGTTTTTGGTTCAAAATATGAGATAATTTGGGGTGGATAAAGAGTCTTTCATTACTGTATGTTCTGCTTGTGGTGGTGGATAATAGAAAGAAATCCTACCGGTAATTGTCCTTTAGTGCAGTTAACCCAGGGTGAGATTTTATTCTCCCATGGGACTATGTAAATTTGGGCTTCACATTGCAGTGATTCCTGTTGTCAAAACAAAAAAAATAACATGTTAAGACCGCAAAACATCAGGCACAGATGAAAAGCATTGTACGTGGAAAAAAAGATCCATGTTTTTAATAATATTTTTAAATACAAATATACTTGAAGCTTTCCCTGAATATCTGTGAAATCCTTCTTAGTGATGGAGATTTTTTTGTACTGGGAAACATCACTATTTAATTTTTCAAGGTCTTATGATAGCTGATGTGTGAACCTTTCAACTTCTGACAGTAATTATTGGATTTTTTTTATTTGTTTGTTACTAGTACTTTTGGAACATTAAATATTTAATGTTCATGATTTTCCTAACATATGTTGTCCATTGATGTTACTACTTCTTGTTAAAAATAGAGAATTTTAGAGAAAGACATGTTTGTTAAACTAGCTAACATCTGTTGCACTAACAGATTTTAACTCAGGGATAAAAACTGCTCATATGGTAGGAAGAGAGAGGGGAAATAAAGCCTCTCTTTTCTGAGCAGCTCCTTTGCAAATATTTCCAGCTTCTCTCAGTGTTGCCTCCCAGCAACCAGAATGGATTTTCCCAATGTCAGCAGCATGCATTCCCGAATCATCTGCCCTTTGAGCACCAGTAACGCCTAGTCTAATACTTTCCCGTAGCTGCAAGTGCCACAGACTCAGGAGCATTGCAGCCATTTCATTTCTCAGCAGCCTCTTTCCCTCATTTCTGTGATCCCTAATTAGGGGAATAAAATTCCCTTCGCTCTGCAGTGAACGCTGAGCTACTGCAGTAGCTGTGACTCGCTTTCAGCTCTGTGTTTTCCTGCCAGGGGCTTGGGTGGCAGATGTCCAAGGTGTCTCTCTTGTCATTGAGGCAGATATGGTGGAACTCAAAATCAAATGAGAGTTTGTTCTGAGCAACTACCATTTCTGGTGCAAATAAGTTTGTCATTTTGGAACAATTCTTTTGACATTATAAATAGCAACATCATCACAACTTACGCTGTCAAGTGCGGCTTCACAGTCTTCATTAAGTTTTTCAAACTCTTTCTTTGAGCAGTTTGTCTTCTTGACTGTAAATATGATATGATAATTTTTCCCTGCAACCACCTGCAAAATTGGCAAGAAGGCTTTCTGTGGTAAAGACATTTTTATCACAGAGAAGATGGGTTTCTGCACATTTGTTTCCTAACCACTGGGGCACGTATGTTAAAAGCAATATTAAAATACTGGACAGCAAAGATATCTGCTTCTAATCAACTTGTTTACTCCAGCCGCATTCTCAAAAAATCCAGCATTGAAATTGGAGAAGACAGAAAGGTCAGAACAACGCCAGGCCCACAGTTCTGGCTTTGTTTTATTGGATGTCTGTAGTAATTTCATTAATAACAAATGAAATCATTAGAGACATCACTGCAGGGAGCCAAATATGATGCAAGAGAAGTTGCATGTGAGTAAAATGAAGTGCGTGGTAAATGGGCTCAGTTGAAAATGGACATGTTTGGCAAATGTATTAAACAAAGGAACTGCACTGGTTCAAAAATATGTCTGGAAGGAGTTGACTTAGTGTTTCTTACAGTGCCTGAAATAATAATATGTATCTTGCTGTAGAGACAGCAAGCAAGGCATGAAATTCCAACTCTTTATAAGTCTACTTAAAATACTTCCTTGTTGATATCAATCATGATATGAAAAGTGGGCAAGAAGAGAAACAGTAAGAAAGAAAAAGCACATGCACTGTTAGTAAGAGCATGAGCCACCTGGAAAAAACTTCGATGCACTTTTACTGCTTTCGCCTGTAGTACCCTATATGCTTCAGACTGGCTTTCTACAATGTATCTTCAGAGCTACTTCATTGTTTCTGCTTTTTTTTCCTTTTTTATGGTTCTGTGGGGATTTCTAAACCTCTGCTGGACAATTTCTATTTTAGAAGTCTATGGAATATTACTAAGACTGATTAAAAGGTGACATAAAAATATGGAAATTAGGTGCTCTAAATCAATCTTCTTCCTGTGCCTTTAAAGAAAATGAAGAGATTGGAGATTTTTAAATAAATTTTGCATGCACGTCCAGATGGACAATATTTTGCAAAATATGCATGGATGTCTTAGTGACCACAAGCAAAAAACATTATTTCAATTCTAAATTCAAACTTTAGCTAACACACAGTTCAGATCAATAACTGATCAATGCTACATTTGTGTCTCATCTCAGGTACAAGGAGGAAGTTTTGAGAGGAAAAGCAAATCCCAACCTGAACTGTTGCTGATTCTATGTCTCCAGCTTTGTAGTAAAAATCATCATTGGTCTCCAAGTTGTACTTCTCCAGAGAAGCCTTCAGTAGTTCTTTCAGTTCTGGGTTGTCTTTCGAGATAATGCTTGGACAACCAGCACAAATGAGAATGGGAGGGCTTACTGTTTCATCAGCTGGAAGAAGCAAGTGGGTTTTAGATGCAAGGAGCAAAAGATTCAGTACAGATAGCCTAGGAAAAAGTTACTTTTAAATCTCCACTTCCAGAAGACTTTGTGCTTGAATCTATCAGATTAAACCAAAATATTTTTGTGTGAGCAATGATATCTTATCTTGATTATCTGAAACAGCACTGCATCAGCACCTGGCGTCCCGCAGGACCCTGAACAATAGACTTCCACAAAAGTAGATATTAAAAACAAGGTGGGGATAGACATGCAGTATGAAATAATAACAATGACAGCATCACTAGATGAATTATTAATTTGGACCAAATCTTAAACTAGTCGGCTCCTGAAAGAGTGTGGTGGAACTCTTTGGAAAATCTAGAAGGAATTGCTTATGTAAGGAAGATGATATTAGCTGCTTGGAAATGTGGGGGAAAAGGAAATAATCTTTGTAGGGCAGTTAGAGGATATCAGGGATATCAGCTTGTATCTGCTGATATCCAAAGGAGATCCATGACGCAGAAATGGCGCAGTATATACATGATAAAATAGAACTTGCATTTGTTCGAAAAATATTTATAGTGAGTGAAAAAGATTTTTAATAATATTTCATGAAAAGGGAGTACATTTTCTGTCACCAAGTAATTTTTTTTCTTGTTATTTTATTTTGCCATCTCTTGCATTTTTGTTTTGCATTTTTTATGATTGTAACTGAACATGGAAAATTGCAGAACTTGCAGTGGTGCCCATTACATACCTGGAAACTTGCACTGACTTGCAATGTCTACAATCTCTGCCTGGAGACTTTCATAGGCTTTGGTCTCACAGTTACCTACACGCTGGAGTGAAAAATAAAAGAAACAAAGCAGCAATTTATTATTTAGAAATAATGAACAGTAATAAACATGTAAGTGTCCTAATAGCTTCTTGCTAACAGAATGTGTCACTCATCCTACTAGGAATTCAAGTCCAATGCATGTTCATTACAGAAGGCAAAGGGGAGATTCCCAAGCCAGAATCCTATTTTACAGAGAGCTCATTGGAAGTTATGTTTCAAGTTACAAAGGCCATAAAAGAAGGTTATGGAACTAACAGAATAAACAGTACTGAGTTTCTGGACCTGCTGCTATTCATTTGAAGAAAAGTGTAGTAGATGACTCGTTGCTTAGAACTGCCTTAATATCCTGAAAAGAAATTAGAATTTTGGGCAAAAAACAAGTTTGATCCCATTCTTTTTAAATGGTTTCTTTTGATTATTTTCAAGGAAGGAGACTCCTCATCCTCCCTGGATAACTTGTTTCAGTGCTCTGTTATCCTCACCATAAGGAAGATTTTTTTTTTCTCGTATTTAGATGGAACTTGCCAAACCATCTGCTTGTGACCATTGTTAAGAATTAAGATACATTAGATGGACCTTACTGAGTTTGACCAAATAATGCCACTTTTATCTTCATGGTTAATGCAAAAATAGACAGGTAAGAGACATGACTGAAGTTTCTCTTGTAATACTTGAACTGTGTTGTCTTCAGTGAATTTTCATTTTGTTTATATTTCTGATGGGGACAGAGAACATCAGCTTAGGCTCTGTTGTTTGAAGGGCCTCTCTCCAGTGTTTCTGAGCTTGTTGTGGAAAAGTTGGCAGCATATGGCAACACTTACAGATGTAATAGCAAAATATTTCCATATGTGACATGTTCTGATTGGGCCTGTAGATTTCTAATAATAACTGTGAATGAATGATTAGCAAGGTTGCTTAACTCCTGAGGAGATAAGTGATTGAGACCTAATCCCGCAGGCCCCGTGTGATGGGGACAGCGTGTGGGTGAGGTAGCACTTCTGGATTCTGTGAGATGGGCACGAGTCGTTATCTGCAGCTGACAGATGGGGGAATTGAGATCTGAGCAGATTAACTTGCTTACAATTAAAGGGCAAGCCTGGGTAATGGAGAGATTTGCTTCAGTCTGAGTCTCCTATCATTTGTTGCAGTATTTTCATTCTTTCCTGTTCCGATCAGTGCTTCTGAACTGCTACAGCATTTCTGAGACATCCAAGGAGGCCTTTTTGAACAGGGGAGGCACTGAGCAGCATGGTTCCACAATGGCTAAAACAGGTGAGGGTCGGGGCACGTGTTTGTGGTTCCTTCCCTCACATTCACCACCGCTGGCTGACGTTTCTGCCCCTACTCTGCCCCACGAGCACTCACCCAACCCCATGGGGAGCTGGTGCACTGGGATTGGTTATAAAACAGCTCACTCTTTCAGAACATCTAAATCTGTTCCAGTTAAGAGCATAGGAAGTGCCTGCTTTGGCAGCACTTCTTTAGCTAGTGTATGTATATTCGTTAATAATTCTTTTTGAAGCTTTCGTATTTGGACTGCAGTAGAGGTAGGTTCAGCTACTGACTTATCTTTCTTAGAAAATATGTCTTATGCTGGAAAAGTAGAGCTATGCTACGTATCGCTTTTTGGGTTGTACTGGAGTAGCTGTCTGGATGGAAACTTCTAGATGGATTATTTATTTGGTTGAGAATGGGTTCTCTAGAGTAATCTGCAAATATTTTAGCAGTTTTTTGGATCACTAATTCAGGAGGACATGGATGTTGTAACTGCATAAATAGGCCAGTTATCTGTGAGCTTGGATTTAAACTTCATTGACAAAGTTAAGCAAAAGTATAAATATTTTCCTGGTCAGATGTCAATCATGATTTACTAGTATATTTTCTTGATAAATGGGTTTAGAAGATTACTTACCCCTGTAGAAATGGTTCTGCACTCTGGACTTAAATCTTGAAATTGGTCTCTGGAGCAATTAGTCTCCTTGATTTCATATTTAATTATGTAATTCCATCCAGCTACCACCTGGAAGATGTATTAAATAAGCCAATACATGCATTGAAGTGGAACTATCAAATACAGTAACTGGAGAAAGCAAGTGCCCTCCCTACATCAGATCACCTTGCAATCGAGCCATGCAGTACACAAAGACAGCAGGAAAATACTGTTCTTTTCCTACAAGAGAGTGTGTTAAGCCATGCAGATATTGGAAATGCAGTTTGTATTTAGATTCAGGTTCTCCTGGCAAGCCTGTAGCCTCACACCAAGTGGTTTCTTGCACTTTCCTCCCAAGTGTCTGTTATTTATTACTCCCAGTGACAGGAGTCTGGTCTAGATGGATGACTACGTTAATAGAGCTTGGCAATTCCTGTGTTCCAGAGTGTGTGACATAGTAAAACAAAATCTGAATAATGTAACTTTACACCGTTGGCATCATTTGTTTCTGAGTGTCCTGCATTTATCATCTACCTGTAATTGTGTCTGCTTTGGGCTTTCCGCCTGCCCTATTCTCTGCAGACTTTTGACCTCAGTTATTTTCTCTCCAGGAAGCAGTTCAGTTTTTAACACTGTGGCTACTGTTTCTCATCCATGAAATCTCTCCATGTCACAAGTTGGGTCAGGGAGCATTTGAACAAAATACAGAAATAAGGATCAAATATAGGCCCTTCACTTTCTATACTGAGTGCAGTGGAGGGCTCTTGACTACTCTCTGTTGGCTGGAACTGACATGATGGTCCTCTCTGTAGCTGCTGGAGTGCAGTAACGTTTTGCCACATGGCTTAAATGTCACATATGCTTCTCTTTCAGTAAGAGCACTATTGCCATCAGTAAGTAAAAGGAGTCCCATCTGAAATAAATCGTGGGTCAGACTGACATAAGAACAGAAGATTTCTTTTTTGGCAAAGTAAACACATCCATATTCATCCAAAGGAGTCTGTATTTGTGTTCAGGTTACATACTGTTTAAAATTCAAATCAGAAACTTTACTTTCTAGCAATGTCTCTGCAATCCATAGGAGAGCCTTGTGCAGGGAAAGAGCTCTCGCACGGAATACCAACTGACACAGAATTTCTGTAACCTGAGCATTTATTTCTTATGAAACAGATACTCCCACGTGCAGAAACGACATGCTGGCTTTTTATTTTTCTGACCCGTTTTTCTTTATTGATTTTACATGTCCTATAATGTTCATCAGCTGCAGATAGACAGCTTCTATTGCTGTATATGCTGATACACAGGTCCCATTGCATAAACATAGTGTCTCAAAAGGCCCTGTGTATACGGGAGAGCATGAGACGTGCACAGGTTGGTGGTTTGGGCACAGCACCTAGGGACAAGGACAGACCTGCTGTGTTTGAGCTTCACGTAGGGGCCTGGTGGAATCCCCCAGGAGGTCTCAGGTGGCACAAAGTGCCCGTGTGAGCCCTGCTGAACGCTGGCTGGTTGCAGCTGCAGATGGCAACAACCTGCGCTCAGCGACAGCTCATAAAGCCGAGAGCTCTGTCAGTAAAGTCAGTAAATAACTATTTATGAGTCCACTGAACTGGAGAGAATTGCTTAGATGGTCTGCATGCTGTATGATCTTACTGTGAAATATAACACACCTTAAAATCAGAAATCCGTACATAAAACAACCAGAGTATCTTTCTCTTTTGTAAAATGTATGTAAAAATCACATACAAACCTGTCTTTTTGCTTCTTTTATTTCAACGAGTTTAAAAAGGGCAGTTTCGCCACCGTGCTTGTTAAACTGGTGGATGGCTTGTTTCAGAATTTCTGACACTTGTGAAGTGTCACTTGATATGTGGTGAAAGCATCCAAGACATTGAGCCTCAGAGAGCATTACCTTTGCCACAGCTGGAAGAGAGACAAACCAAAAAATACAGGTCTGCATGTAAAGCTGTATCAGTTGTAATTTCTCATACATGGGATGGACGGGGAAGGTTCAGTGAGCAAGAATCTTTCCTGCTTTTAATCAGAGCAAAATCCAGAATCAGGTTTCATGGCCTGCCAAGATATTTGTTGTATTTAGAGACAGGCTTCTCTGTTTAGTGACAGGGACCATTCTGAAATTTGTATCTGGGAAATCTGAGAAATTTGAGTCTCACCTCATCCTATTTGACTGCGGTGTTGTCAGAATTGCTCTTGCTGGTCACCTCAGCTGCCAAAAAGTGACCATTGGTGTCAGCTTCCAGGCTGAGGCAGCTGGAGTGCTGTGGTTAGGCAAGCTTGAAGGAGGTGCTCAAAATTCTCTTTCCTACTACTAATCCCTTTAACCCTCTTTCCTTTCTAGTAATCATGGATTGGATTTTCATAAATTACATTCCTAGGTCTATACATAAATTAATTTCATGATTCAGTGAGTTTGAGAATCAAAGTAAGACAATATATGGTCTCTGTGGAATTGAAATAAAATTTGTGTGCCCGATGCTCAGCTGGCATAAACTGCCTTTCGCGGGGCTATGCCAGCTTGCAGCAACCACCAGTCCAGTCCAGTCCAGGGCCAACATGGTCAAACACTCTCACCAAGGAGGTTGAACGATGTGGGGAAGTCCCTCAGCAGATCACATCTGTAGTTTAACTCTTCTGTTGAATCCTTTGCGTTTGATTTTGCTCCCTGCTCCTTTGTGCAATTGAAGTAACTCAGTGTAAGGAATGTTCTTACTCTTAGCTCTTGTAGATGTGTGAACAGAATCTAACCCTTTGTATTTATAGCATCATCTATTGCTGCCTGCCTTTGACTCAGTCGTGGCATATATATATCTTACAGTGGAATCTGACCTTGTTTTCAGGGAGCAATCACAAGCAAGATAGTAAAACATTAGCACAGCCAGTTCTGAAAGGGCTGCGGTTTGAAGCTTTGTGTAAGCGCTGAAGAAACGCTGCTTCATGCAATTATTGCTTTTTGCAATGATTTGTTAATAAGAGATGATTTTTGTAGGTTGAATACCTGCTTCATTTAATTCAAATGTGCTGCTCTGGCTTTCTAAACAAAGATTCAAATGCAGATTCCCAGTGCACACTCTGGAATTCACAGACCTTTCCTGGCAACTAGGTGTCACCATTGCCTTACAAATGTATCTGAACCCAAGCGGCTTCGGTTCAGAATGTGCTCTCCGTGTGCTGCAGTTCCCAGGAAGGTGTAGCTGTTACAGCCTTAAGGTAACTGGAACCACAGCTCAAGGATAAGCTGCAAACCCTCTCAGAAATCGTGATAAATACTCCCACACTTGGCTCCGAGCTGCCATGCTTATATGATCATTTTAAAATGAGCTTGGAGATGTCTCACCTGAACGCCAGTCATAGGTACAGAAAGATTTCAGCTACAGAGCTCCCAAACTGAGACTTGTTTCTAATAAAGTTCTAATAAAGTTCCATGTAAACGTTATGATCATATATGAATATCTTAAAGGTAAGAAAAGTTGTACTGGCTGTTTTTAAGATCCAATAAGTTTCATAAAAAGACTCAAATAATTACATCACTACTATATTTTTTAGTTTTGACATTAAAATTTCTGCAGTTTTCTCACTTGGCAGTTAAAGATTTGTCGTGTGAACTTTAACAAAAATAAGTCAGCCTTTTGTAGTTTTGAGGAATTTTAGGTACAATTTTGCCATTCAAAGTTTTATCTAAACATTTCTGGCACAATTTCATACTTGAGTAATTGAGCATGAAAATTTGAAGTATATTAAGGGGATATCTAGTTTCTAGGCTACTGCTGTGCTTTTTGTTTTAAGCAAATTCATTCTAATGGGGTATAATTTTAATGTTTTTAAAAGCTTATTATGCACAGATGCTGGTTTTCAGTACCAGGTAATAGGGTCGTCCCCTCAGAAACTGCCAGTGCTTCACTGACTTGGCAGAACAGAGGAGAGTGAAATTTCATCCTTAACATGTAGTTGCACATTGATTGGAGACGCTTTGGAAAATCTGAACCAAATGACAAGAAGCTTCTACCTTTAGAAAAAACTGAAAGTCTCAGTAGGATTTTTTTCAATTCTTATTTTTCAATGTATTCCTTGAATGCTGCCTTAAAAAGTTACGTACCTGGAATAGTTTGGCAAACCTGTGAGACATTGCTTGTTTTTTCAGCCTTATTGATGTGAACTTGAGCTGTGCATTCTCCGGTTTCCTGCAAATACAGATGAGAGCATTTGGCTTTGACTTGATTGATGAAGAAACCCAGATTAGTACCATATTTGGTGGATAAGTTCATATGTACACATGTAGTTGCTGTTTTTTTATTGCAAAAGGAATGTATTTTGATTATGGGAAGAGACAGGGATGAACAGAGCAGATAATTTGGAAGACTCCTTTGTGTCATGGTGATGCATATTAATTAACTAGAGAATGTACAGCCAGATTAAGGGAAATGAAAACATTGGCATAAATAGAACTGTATATTTATGTAATTTTCTCTCTGCTGGTGTGAGGTATGCAGCAGTGACCGTGACATTTCACATAGATTCAAATACTGTGATTACCTCCTTTTCTTTGCATTGTGTGCAATATGAAATAAAAGCGACTTCCACTGGGGATGTGCAACATTTCCTGAATGCTCTGAATGCCCCAGTTGTGCTATTTCTAGGTGCAGTGAAGCTCGGAAATGTCTGCGTGGAAAAGGTCCCTCCTGTGCATCTTCAGGATTATAATGATTAACTTCAGGCTTGTAAACATTTCCATACCATACTTTACTCCTATAAGCTCTCAAAGGCACAACACACACACGGCTAAATCCTCTTCTCTATTTTTTTTTTCAGGAAACTGCAGTCGTGCTGATTATGTTGCTGTTTGTGCACGGAGAATTTTAGAAGAGGACAGACACTTACAGCTTCTGCAGGTACTTTGTAATCACAGTCTTTCCAGTCCTTGTTTTCCTCAATGGCACAAGTGCTCTCTCGTATTTTATATTTCACATGGAATTGTATGTCAGGATCTGCCTGGATAAAAGCAGTGATTGGCAGAGTGATTAATCAGGACATCATTGATGAGGTAAGAGTTTCAAAGGGTGAATTCTATACCTTCTGTACATCGATTGCCTTATTTTTTTATATTATGGTTTCAGATTAGCTGCTGTTCTCCATGGAATATCTCCTCAATCTCACTAATTTAATTAGTACCTTATCTGATTGTAATATTGAGCCCTTAACTACAGCTACAGACTGTTGATAGGGTAGATGCAGGGTGCTCATCTGCTTCACTTCAATGTACTACAGCTGGGGGTTTTAAAACAGCAAAAAATGGGCAGGTTTCTGTACAGCTGTTCAAATGTGCTCGGAGTGGGCAAACCGGGGCTGCTGCTTGGGTCATTGCGGGCTCACAGTTTGGCCTGTGCTCCTCTCAGACTCCATCACTCCACACCTGCTCCCAGATGGGTCCGGTTCCTGCCGCGGAGTCCCGCGGTGTCCGGACTGCCCCGCTTCGCGTGAACGGGGCCTGAGCGGCCCTGTCTGCTCGTGGCAAAGGGCTCAGGAGGGCCGTGTGGTAAAGCCACCCTAGCCTGTGCCTGCCCTTCTCCTCGAGGTGCTAAGGGCAAAGGTGGTGGTGACAGTTGCCTCAGGAACCCCAGGAGATGAAATGCAAAGCCTAGAAGTTCAAGGTGGGCTCTCCTGGCCTGTGGAAGTTCAGGCCATTCCGATGTTCCTAGCAAGGTTTTATTCCATGCCTGAGGCTCAGGACTGTGCTGTGCCTTCAGACAACATCCACATACTGTGCTGTCCATGGTTCATCCTTCGGTTGGATGCCAACCCAGTAGTTCCTAATCTTTTACTGCCATGAGAAATGCCCTGGCAGTGAGTACCTCTTACAGTGCACACATAGGCAGCTGCCTATTAGCCCTCTCAGCGGTTTCATTTGAGGATAACCAGGATTTTTGGCTCATTTGTGCCCTTCTCCTGTGTGAGTGAGTGACACTGAGCTGGCACAGGTGGAATGTACTGGATTTGCATTGGCAGCATTGAAGGCAAAATTACATTCTGTGTTCTCTCATTTCCTATTGTGTATGGCTACAACTATCAAAAAAATGGTGATGCCTGAAGTAATATCTGCAGATTGTGAAAGAGCGTGAAAGAACCTCTAAAACTGTAATGGAAATAATCCTCAGCTGGTATAAATTGACATTTATGGAGCTGCATCACTATCAGGTTACACTATCTGAGATACAACTGAAAAAAAGAGACAAATTCTGCTCTGTTAGACTGTTTTAAGCCTGAAATAAATCATTTCAGTTCACCGAGTACATGAAATACCTGAGAAGAGACATTGTTTCTGTTATGTTATTTGTTGTTGTTTTATTTCTCTGTTACTGTGAACAACTGTGGCTTTAACTGGTGCAGGTTCAGTCTTTCAGCAATCAGCTTTTATGTTTTATTACTGTATCAATAATGAATGTACATGAATATGTAATAACCAGCTATTGAATTAATGCATTCAACACTGTGAGACTAGAGATGAGTAAAATCTATATTCCTTTTAGAAAAGAAAGAATTCAGAATACAAGTAAATCTCTCTTGGAGACTCGTTTTCCCTGTTTCTTTCCTCACATCATAGTCAGATCAGTGATTGAAAGTAATAACTGATTTCCACCTTTAAGGAAAGGCAATATATCTAGAGAGAAATGATGAATAGTAATGAGAATAAATATACATTCTTAAAAATAGAACTTTATTTAAAATGAAATACTGATAATAATTTTCCTTGGGGAAGACTAGCAAAAATGAATGTTATCATCTTTATAATCTGATATAAAGATGTTTGCATCTGGCTTTCGTTAAGGACATGTAGTTCAATGAAGATGATGGGATCATTCATTTGATTAATATTAATTATATGAAGGGTTTCCCAGATCTAAGCCCTGTCACTACATGGTAAAATCAAAAAACGGGAGGGTAGCTACCAAAAGGTAGGGGTGATTTATTGGAAGATGTCCCCCTTCTGAGCTCAGTTTCTATCTGAATAAAAGTGTGTCCTGATTTTGGCACACAAAATATCCTGTCACTGGGTTTCTTTTGTTTTGCATCTGAAAATTCAATCCAGGAGAAAAAATGCTAATGTTGTTTTCGAGAAAAGTAATGCTTGTCGTTATTGTGGCGGTATCATCTGTGTATGTACTCTCAGAGGAGTACATATATATATTTCTAACAATCTATCTATATACACTTTTTTTTTTTTTAGATTAGTGGTATATAGAAGCAAAGCAGCATGTTTCATTCTTTTCTGTTCTTTTCTCTGCTATAATTTTAGTTGTCTCTCTATTTGACTAAGATCCTGCCTAGTGCTTTTAGATGGATTTGTGACAGTATTTCCAAATATTTTCCAGGCATTCTTTTTAATATGTGAAACCAGCTCATCCCAAGTTGGACTAATATAAATGATTTTGTTTTTTTAAAAAGTGTTTTTGCCATTGATCTGAAAACTTTATTCATGATGGGCAAAGTTGGAATTCCCAAAGATAAAGGAAAAACCTGGATATGCTAGTAGGACATATGAAGTAGTGATCAAAACTTTCAAAAGTTCTGCATTTATAAGCAATTTACCATCACACCAAATTCCTTTGACAAGTACAGCATATACATTCCCTCTAGTCCTGGAGAGAAGTATCTTACAGTGCAAGCCATTCCAAGCCATTCTTGTGATTTTTAAGAACAATTTTTGCAAGACATTTTGCTGTCATGTTTACCCTCTGTTATGAATGCCATGGAGAGGACTGGACCCCGAGAGCACAAACAATTCCCCCACATGTGTTTTTCCAAAGTCTACTTACTGTTTTTTTGGCTTCCATCACGACGTATAGAGCAAATTGATTACCAGTGCTCCTCTCTGCGTTGTATTTCTGCAGCGCTGCATCGACAGCTTCCGAGACATCGGGGTCATTGCAGTCAAGAAACTCAAATGGAAGAGGGGTAGCCCTGCTAGAAAAGAAACTACTGCAGAGCACTAGCACAAGGAAAGGTTTCATAGCAGGACAAAATATCCCCCTGAATTAAAGTGACTCTAAAAAGCAAATGGAATCGGGCTGCTTGAGAGGCAGTTAGAAACCTCTTCTGTTTTCAGAAGCAATAGCTGAGCAAACAGAACAAGTGGATGGCTGGGGTTGGTGGACTCTCGTCATATCCTGTTTATCCTGCAAATAAGCTTTGGGGTTTATCTAAACAAACTTTGTGCAGTGACCAGAATGACACTAAGGTTGTCTACCTGCCATCAAGATAACAGCCTAACTGGCTGCAGCTGGAGACAGGTTTAAACCCAGCAGCTGGGCCCTTCAGAAAAGAGAATGTTTGTGGCCCTCCAGCTTCATTCTCTTGTTGGATTTTAATACCAAAACTGCTATTCAGAGTGAATTTTAGAAGACTTAAATAAAACATGTGAGAAGGTCACAGTAGTAATGAAGTTCTGGTTCTGGACAGCAGCAGTGCAGTAAATTTTATAGATTTGTTAAGCGAGCAGACTGCAAGAGTGTGGGGACTCTGAACATGTTTGAAAAATATTTTTGCACAGATGTGTGTCATTGAATGTCACATAACTCTCCAATAGCACTTTATAGTCCTTGTGCTTCACCCTGCAATTGGAAGTATCTGTCCTTGCCTGTGTCAGGAGATTAGACCATGAATTAGCCCATAATGTTTTGCTTCTATTGTGCAGACAGGGAAAAGGAGGCAGTAGAAGAAGAGAGTCTGTCAATGTTACCTCTGTCTGGCAGAGTCAGAATTAAAATGACCTGGTACCACCTAGAACCTGCCTTCAGTGCTGAGCACCAGGTAGTTTTGTTTTAAATCCTGGACATGCCTCACTTCTAGTGGTCCAGCTGTTTCTTGCTATAAGTTTTAGCTGATTTTTTATATTTAATTACAGGACAAAAATAGTACTGTATTAAAAAAGATAGACTTCCAAGTCCAGAGTGGCTAAGCAATGCCAGAAGTAGCTCTCCATGGATACCCGTTTAGAAAAGTAGAAATCATTCACTCGGTTACACAAAATGCTATTATTTTTTTTGTGTGTTCTTTGTAGCCTTCATACCTTGTTTTACTTAATGCCATTACAATTTTACTTTGAAGGCCAAATAATTAACTGTTGGATTATCTCATAAGCATGTTAGAATATACTTATGAGATAACTGATCTGAACTGATTGAGGTCCCAGGTCTGTCTGAACAGTCTTTATGGGGACAGCGGTTAAATGCAAAATTAGGATTCTTTCTTCCTGCTTCTCCTTCCTCTCCCCAAATCGATCTCCTCTGAGGAAGGCTCAGTAATAAACACTTACTTGAAATAGTTATTACAGGTCTCCCTCCCTTAAAACAATTAGGAAATTTTTGAAGTGTGCTGCCCTTGAATGCACTGTTTGGGGCTTTTCTCCACCAGCAATGGTAGCGATGGAAGCTCCTGTGCAGGCCACCCCTAATGTTACATTGCAGCTCATTAATTCTTGTCAGAGCTTTCTAGATAACCTAGTGACCCAACCATTGTTCATCAGTTTATGCTGGAGTCTACCTCGTGGATTCCCACTGTGCACCTAAACATCCACAGTAACACAAAGGACAACAATTTGGTAACAGTCCCAAATATTTACCTATTTTTACTATCTTTGAGTCTTTATAACAGTGCAAATACAGTGCTGCATTGTTTGTGGATGGGGTACAAGGTAGGCTGCAGAAAAGCACGTCTCCAGCATGATGTCCTTCCACTGCACCTGGAGGATCCTGGGAGGATCTTTGCCTGGAGGTAAAATGAGGAGGAAAGCTCCATTTTCTTGCTGTTCTGAACTTGTAGGTGTTCAGAACTGCAGACCATAAGAACAGAGGAATCCGTACCTTTTTTGTCATGCAAGGTCATCAATTTTCCTGATTGTTTTGTAGAAAAGCTTTTCTACCTTGTGATCAGAATTTTCATTTATTTCAGCTGTAGGCGGACCGAGATCTACTCCTGCAGAAATCCTTTCTCTCTTACTCTTTGTGAGATACTCTGCAATGTGTGTGGCTGAGTGAGGCTGTCTAGTCTGGGAGCAGCCTATTTGCCAAGAATCAGACCTGTAGGAGAAAAGCTTGTTGACCTTTATTGGTATGAGCTTGGAATTAGTGTATCATTACAAACAATACAGTAGATGTGTACAGAGGTATCCTGGGCATTATGAGAAAATGAAAGATATTAGATGGCAATTTCCACTATTAGAGAATTTTCCATTTTGTTAGAATTAAAGGTACATTGCTTGCAAGGGAGATTTGCATCTACTCACATTAGTTAAGATCTACAAAATGTTGATCCTTTCAGTCGCATCTGTCTGAGATAGCTGGGGTCAGGAGACAGGCTGGAATATTTGTCTTAATTATCATTATTTTCAGTGTTTCTTATTCCTAGAAGTTGTACACTTTCCTCCTCCATGCTGTTTCTTTGCATTGTACAGCTCTCATCTATCTTCCAGTCCTCAAACCAAACCCACCTTCCTTTGTGATCACTTAGGAGAGGTTTTTGCTGCAGATTCTTGTGAAAGTAAAAGCAAAATATGAGGCAGTTGACGTTTGGGTTTTCCTGGGCATGATTTTGATTGTGAAGGGTGATGTGGAAAATCATGAATTCCTGAGGTTTTTTCTTGCCCTGAGCCAGTGAAGTGAGAACCCTCTGCAGTGTCGGAGAAATGAGGGTCGCTTTGGGAGAGGAAGTTTGAAAGGGGAAGTGTGAGAGTGTCCTGCTGATTTAGAACTGGAATGCGATAGACAGCCCCTTGTTGGAATGGAAAGTGCTTTCCTGATAAGCTTGTCTTATTGTAGGGATGCCTGTGGTAGTGATGATGGTGATAACGAGGGTGCCCTGGAGGAGGAGGAGGAGGACAGTGTGGTCTGTGGTGGGGGGGATGATGGGGATGAGGTGGTCCATGATGGTGGGGAGGAGGGCAGTGTGGTCCATGGTGGGGAGGGTGAGGGGGATGAGGCGGTCCATGATGGTGGGGATGATGAGGACAAGGTGGTCCATGGTGAGGAGGATGAGGGGGGTGGTCTGGTCCATCGTGGTGGGGGGGAGGATGAGGACAAAGTGGTCCATGGTGGGGAGGATGAGGGAAATGATGTGGTCCATCATGGTGGGGAGGAGGATGAGGTGGTCTGTGGTGGGGCGGATGAGGGAAATAATGTGTTTCATTCTGGGGAGGGTGAGGAGGAGGGGGATGTGATTCATCCTTGAGTAAAGGGGAAGCAGGGTCATGTGCTTCCTCTTGGGGAGGAGGAGGAGGACAATGGTGGTGTGGCGGGTGATGGTGATGTGGCCCGCCATGGGGTGGCGGGGGAGGATGTCCTTCGTGGCTGTCTTGATGTTCTTCACTGAAGTTGTGGTGATGCTCGGAGTCCTTAGATGCAAAGTGGGGTGGGTGGCGATGCCTGTGACGATGCCCGTGGCCACCACGATGGTGGGGATGCTTGTGGGGCCGACACGGAGGTGGAGAGCTGCATTTCTGCCCGCAGTGGTGCTGCTGGTAATAGAAATACCAGGGAAAGCACTAGTGAGAGAGATGTTAGTATAGCAGAAGAAGGTGGGGAGAGAGGTGAGAATTACATAGGTTCACGTTTATAGTTTCATTGAATGCCAAATATGATAAAGCAAACCTTCCTTCTCCTTGCAGATGCATCTTCTAGCTCTAACGCTGCTAATGGCAGCGCTGGTACAGCTCATTATCAAAAGATGTTTATTCAGAGCCTGATTTTTGTTTATATCCGAAGACCTTTATATCAGTTTTGTAGTATAAAGAGGCTTAACAGAGTATATAATAGCTAGCTTAAAGAGGCCCAATCAATTATTTCTGTTCCCTTATTACTGCTGTCTTATATCTGCTTATTTTTGGCTGGCAATCTATAAATATTTATTAAGGTTTTATGATAAATTCAGCTCTGGTTGATAGGACTTTCTGGCATGGATTCCATAGCTGCTGCTTGAAAGTCGCTGCCAAGTGTTGATACGTTACAGCTCATCTGCCCACCTCTTACCGTAACTCGCAGCCTTCCCAGGGACAGATGTGGACAGTATCTCTCTATAGCAATGGGATAACAGATGTGAGAGGTGTTTCTGTCATTGGTTACCTACCCAGGGATGGTAGAGTTCACAGGTTATATCAGTTCCTTCCCTTTCTTCTGGGACATTGATCGTTGCCTTGCAGAATCCCTTTTGCTAAGCAAAACAAAGGGGGGAAAAAACAACGCACAATTGGATTGTTATGAGGGCCTTAATAAAAGCTACTGAAAATTGAGCGTTTTGGCAGTTAGGCTAGTTCATAGGGTACCCAAGTGTGTTTGCATAATCTAGCTTTGCAGAATCTAGCTAGATTCTGAGCTTTGTGACCAGCGCTACTTGCCCTCTAAATCCTGATTAGAATACAGGCCGGTTTGAGTGTTACTGACTGTGAAGCTGTCTTCCCCATGTGCATTATTATTCTTCATCTTATTTCTCTTTTGATGTTCACAAGAAATTGGTCAGCTACCAATGCCTCCAAAAAGGGAACTCCATGGAGGATTCATTCTCTTTCTTCTGTCTTTGGCTGTTAAACATTCATTTAGACTGGGCTTTTCTGAAATTTTGCTCCAAGACCTTGATAATAGACACTGTGTTGCTGTGCCACTCGAGGAGAAGCTCAAGAGATAGCTTTTTTTCCCCACATTTCTTTTTTGAGAACTGATTTCCTGTAGCCTTTTAGCATTGCTTCTTCTAGCATCCTGTCCGTGGTGACCTTGGCCTGCCGTCAGTCTTTGCATGTGCAGCTGCTCCCTCCTTGCTCTCCCTGCTCTTACTTCTGCATGGGGAGTAGTGACCCCATGGGTCTGCTCTCCCATTTCAGAACAGCAAGTCTGAAGCTTCTTACCTCTTTGTTCGTCTACAGGATTACAGAACTGAGGGATAATCGGTTCTGTGTAAGCTCTTTGCAGCAGGAGCTTTATCTTCATATATATATTTGGGCAATCTATAGCCTGTGATGAAAACTGATTGCGAAAGTAGCAGCATGTTCTGCAAGTAGCAGCAGGGGCTGCTCTGAGAACCAAATTCAAAGCCTCTGGCTACCTGGCATGTGCATCATCCTGCTTAGGATGTGCATCATCCTGGTTCCCACACAACTTATACAGTCTTCCAGGATATAAGGAGCCAGAGAAGAAAAATCATTGTGGATAAAAAGGCTGTTTTACAGAGATTTTAAAATGTTTGTGAATATCACTCCTTCTATTTCATTCCTGGGAACAATTTATTTTGCTTTAATGACTCTGCCTATAGTTTCTATGGTAGAGACTATTATTAGGAGAAGGTGGGATGAGAAGAGTACTTGGATGGAATCTGTAGACAAGCCTGAGTCATTGAACCCTTCATTTCCCTGTTGCAGAGGAAAAAGGCAAAAAAAAAAAAAAAAAAAAAACCATGCCTCACTGGGATGAGATAATACACATGTTTCATTAAAGATCTACAGCTCAAATTAGTGTAAAAGGCTTTGTAAAAATAGCACTATTGATTTACTGGGGAATGGTCCCAGCTTAAATGTTGAAGTGAGATACAAAAAGTTCAAATCTACATCTGGAATATCCCCGGTTCCAGCTTAGTTTAGATTCACAAGTTCAGCGTGGCTCCTTATAGAAGACAAAGAAGCAGCTGTGAAATTAGAATCTGGACTTGGACATGCTGGGTTTTAAGTTTGAGTTTGTATACATGCTTGTAAGAAACACTTGGAAATATTGTGGGAAGATCTTTCTGGTGCCACCCTTTGTACCCGTTCTCCCTCTCAGGCTTTACTCACGGCACGCCAGCCATCTAGAAAATCACATTCCAGTTGCGTGTCTGTGTGTTGTGCTGCACGTTTGGAACAGTTGGTCTCTTTTATGGAGAATTCTACAACGTGACCTTCTCTGGAGCCAGTCTGAAATAAAGATGTCAAGCAAGCAGGGAATACTATGAGTATTTAAATGCTCCTATGACTTTAAAAGCAATGATGTTTCATGCTGTTACCAAAATCTTGTCTACTTCATCCATTCATTACCTGTCCTTGGAATGTTCATACATGTACATGTAGTAAGGAAAATGGATCATGCAATTTATGCTTTACTCGCACTCCTAAATTAGTTCTGGCAATGGTTTCTTTATATCTTTTCCTAGTTTGTTATGTGTTAAAAAGAAACTTGTGACTTTTATAGCCTGAGGTTTTAAGGAGTAGTCTGTACAGGTTTTGCCCCAAGTTGAATTGCTGCTCCAAGGGAAATGGAGTGATCTACTGATTGGGAACATTATCCATTCCAGTGATGGGAGTGCGGTGCTACAGAGGTGCTAATGTTGACTTAGGGAAAGATTTGGCCAGTTTCTTTGAGGTTGCTGTGTTCTCTTTTGTCACTGCATTACTCATAAAGAAGGTTTTATTCCATGTGACTGGAGAGCGGGTCTTTATGATCCTATTAGAATCCATAGAGAGGTGTTTCATTTTACTTTTCAGCTGTTAGAATAGTTTTATGTCAGCATGAAAGTGTCCACAGCTAAGGGCATACATGTGTACCCAAGTTTCTCGGGTTTAGCTACTTAGGTTAAAAGTATGGACACTTGGTTGCACACTTTCATGTCAGAAGTCGTAGTTTCTAAGGGTTATGCAGTCTCCTGAAATCTCTTCATGGTACAATCTTAATTCTCACTGTAGCTGAAGATGGAGAAGTGTGAAGATTGTATTTGCAAAACATGGGGCTTAGGAAGAAATATATGACACCAAGCAATCTGAAAACAGCCATGGCAGAATGAGAATGGAGATATATCCCAGGTGAAGCTACAGTCTGGAGCACTGACAACTTTCCTAATGGTTTTGTGGGCTGCAGGAAGGTGGGATTGGGCTTGGGTAAGGTGGTTAGTTTCCCAGAGCGACATGGGATTAAGGCAGAAGCCATGGGATCTCATTAAAGAGATGTCCTGAGCAGATACATGGGCCTGACGGAAGGTCTCCAGTATCTACCAACTAGAAACTGTGATCATGTGAAAATTACTGCTCCAAAATACCCATCGGGTGAGTCTTCATGTTGATTTCCCTGAAGGTGGAAGAGGAGTAAGCTACCAGAGCCAGTATTTCTGCAGGAGGTAGAGCACAGGTAGTTTCACAGAATCCCAGAATGGTTGTGGTTGGAAGGGACCTCTAGAAATCATCTAGTCCAACCCCCCCTGCACCAGCAGGGACACCCAGAGCAGGGGGCACAGGGCGACATCCAGGCAGGTTTGGGAGATCTCCAGAGAAGGAGCCTCCACGGGTAGCCTGTTCCACTGCTCTGTCACCCTCAAAGGAATGAAGTTCTTCCTCACCTGGAGATGGAACTTCCTGTGTTTCAGCTTATACCCATTGCCCCTTGTCCTGTCCTTCAGAGCCCCCAGAATGCCGCTTTGCTCTGTAGTTGAGAGGGTCAAATTGATGCTGAGCTTGTTCCACTTCATGTTGTACCCAAATATTTCAAGAGTGAAAAAATATCTGGCTTAAGCTGAAAGAGTGTAGGGTTGTAGTCCTATACATGGACTGTACATCTTGAAGGACTCTAGTTGGTGGTAAATAAACTCTTGCATGTTATGCTATGGTAGATACATATGCAAAACAAAAATAAGAATACCAAAAAGGCTCCAACATTTTGACTGCTGTAATTTGAAGCAGATGAGATATCCTTTTGCTTTCACATGTTTAAATTAAGATGTTCCATAACACGATTTTGCAGAAGCAGGATCATAAACTTTAAGGAGATGATTTATGCTGTGAGGTTGCAAGCAATAGCTTTGCTCCTAGAAGGATTTGAGTTCTAGGCCCACAGTTCTGGAGCTGCTCACGAAATTTAGTGCCTTATAAATAGTTACAGGACAAGATGTCACTTACCATCTTTAAAATTTTTTCAACTTTGTCCACGTTGAAGTGGCTTGTGTGGTTACTCTCACTGTTGTATTTTTCCAGGGCCTTGGCAGCAACATCTTTGTGTTGCGCAGTGACTTCTAAGACTTCAACTTTCACGGGACAGTCTTCACACTCTAATAGATCTGGAGGAACTATGAAAACAGGGAGGTTGCTAATACTGGCATGGATATTAATAGAACTCAGCACAAGTACTTTTAATGTGAACTTACAAAGAGAAATTGAAATGCGCAAGGGTTTCCCTGGAAGTGAAATACCTGTCTCTCACTCTGAAATAGGGGTTTGTCCTAACATATGGAAAAAAAGCAACTGTGAAAATGTGTGAGCTGTTCACAGTATATATGAACACATACTCTTAACATATACTATGTTCAATGTATAAATCTTTTTGCTCTTAGAATCGTACCATCCCAAAGAGGCCTTCTTTTGAAATGTACCTTTTTTCTCATATTCATTATTATGTTTTGGTTGACTCAAGTGGTGATATGATTTGACATCAGTGCAGTTTGCTTTTGAAGAGAAGGATAACCTTTGATTCTATTACTCATGCTTAATATTTCATTTTAATTATATAAAATATAAATTTCAAACAGATGAATGAATCTGTTACAGTTACCATCTACTAGGAGCACACAAAGTTGTACTTAAGTAGCAGGGCTCGTTTGAGGTATGGATTAAATTACAATAGAGGTTACTTTACCTGGACTTACTGTACAATTAAATCCATATAGATGCTGTTTATTTTTCATCCACTGGCTTGTGTATGTGACAATCTTACATTGCCCAAAGACCTGAGAGAAAAAAAGAATATGTGGCTATGATGTTATTTTTACTAGAGTTAATTGGATGTCATTGATCATAGGAATTATTTGCCTTCTTTTCAGGTACAGTGTTTCTAAAAGTAGTAAGTGTGGTCATTTATAGAGTGTTTGACCTGGTACCACCCAAACTTTGTGTTTCAGATAAAATTGCCTCACTTTCTGCAAGAACATTATTTTTCAATTTGCGTTACTAAATAGACAATGGAAAATTAATTCTCAATCATTCTAATATTTATATTTATAAATATTTATAAATTTATATTTATAATATAAATTTATATTTATAATATTTATATTTATAAAATAATGTTAGCTAGCAAGAAAAGTTAGAATGCCATAAATATTCAGAGATTACATTAATCATTATGAAGAAGTGGATGAATCTTTTCTCCCATTCCTTTTCGCCGTCTTAATAAAAAGAGCCACCACTTTCTCTGCTGTGTGGCCTTCATGCTTTGTTCTGTGTGATAGCTTCACCACTCTCCTATAAATAAATAGTTTCTGGATGGTAGTTCTCATCCCAGAGTACACCAACGCAACGCAAAATAAAGGGCAATTATGCTATGTGTCATAGGTCTACTGACACTACTAATATTTTATACTGCCATATCATAAATTCATTAACATAAAACTGACAAAATAAAGCCCTGACATTTCTGTCTAATATCACAGGAACATAAGTGAAAAAAATCATTTATAGAGACCCTCTAGTTATCAGCAAATTATTCTTGAAACCTCATTTCTGTTACTAGCAGTGGAATATGTAGTCTAGCTCCTTTGACAGAATTAGTTAAATGAAGTTGCCCTTGTTTGACAAGACCTGTCTGCCCTTTTCCAAACCTTTTGCTTATGTTTAACAACTCTAGGATCCAATAGATTTTTTTTTTATACAATGAGGCATTTTAAAACCTGACCCCTACATAGAGATTTCATGCCACATAAATTTCTTGGCAGTTCAGATAAAGATCACATCCATGGTAATGCGTTATTGACATATAGTTCTGCCTGGATACTGTTACTTGCCTGGGAATAGGCATTGCTGTATTCACAAGATGCCCAGGGTCTTCCAGATAATACTGAGCATTCAGTTTCCAGCACATCCAAAGTTAAGTAAAGGACTGATGAATTTCCCTGGAAGAGAAGTGCAGGTAAAAATAAACAACAAAAACAAGTGGATGCAAAAATCTTGGTCTGAAAGAAACTTTCCTGCAAGTAGATTTGCTTAATCTTTAATGTAGCTTCCCCAGTTCCTTATTAAAGCTCCTCTGAACTGACAAGTGTAGGTTCATTGAGTTATTTAGGCTGGAGAGACCATAGGACATGATCTTGTCCAGCTCATCTTGTGAGATGAGTGACCAGATACTCCCAGAGCTTTGTCTGCTGGCCAGTTTATTCACAGAGGGGCTCTACAAAACTGCTGTGACCCCTGCAAAATCAGAATCCTTAGCCTGTGCTTCCAGCATATTCTAACCCTTGAGTGCGTGCGATGGGGAATCAGAATTTGAATTTAACTGCCAGGATGATAGAAGGTGCTGCTAAAAATTATTAATTGCCCACAAAGAGTTAATCCTTAAGTCTCTTTTTTTTTTTTTTTTTTTTTTCCTGAGGAAAAATGAATCTTAATTACCATTTATAATGGGTTAGTCAAACTTCATTCCACTCTGTTATGGACCTTTCTCCCTTCCTTCCAGATAAGCAACTATATCCAAAATTAAGGTAATAACAAGATACTGCTAATAAAATACCTATTTTGCAGGGTACGCAGATCTAATTAATGTTAGATATTCCCAGATTCAAGAAACTCTCTGAATGTGAAGTATGAATATAACATGAATATGAATATCCAAGACCTGAAAACAGATCTGACAGGTTAATTTCAGGTGTTGTAGAAAACTGTTGATAACATTTCTTCTGCTAACATCCTGTCCTCTGTAAGAACTGGGGACATTCAGCATCCTGTGTTGTCAGGCTTGCATGCAATAAATCACGCACAAATGAATCCTGAGATAGGGTAAATCAGAGCTGGGTCATTGAATTACATTAGCGTTGCTCTCTTAAAGGCAGCAAGGCGTAAACTTGTAACAATCTGGCTCATTATTTAAAGTCATGGCATTGTCTAAAGCAGTCTTTAAGTTGATACTTACTACGTCCTGCTTGTAGGCATCAACAACACGGAATAACCCAAAAACATAGCCGTCTCTGCGGTGCCTGTTGACCAAATCCAGGGCCACTCCTGCATCTGTTTCGATGGTGTCACAGTCCGCAGGGGTGACACTTGCCTCGCTGTGGGCAGGGGAGAACTGCAGCACTGCTAGGAAAAGGGCTGAAGCTAAAAGCTTCATTTTGGTTGCAGCGTTAGGTCACTTCTCTCTGTGCTCCGATAAAGTCGTTGGGCTGCTTTTAAATCAGAGTGGCCCACAAAGGGTGATGTAAATGGACACTAAAAGGGCACGATTTTATATAAATTTCAGTGCTGTGTCACTAGGCTATTGCCTTGACCCTGGATTAATGTTTGTAAACAGAAGTAAATGATTATATGTCGATTGAGCAAATTTGGAGGAAAATAGACCTTACAGTACCCTCTGGACCGTGCATCAAAGTAACTACTTTACACATCTTAAAGCAGAGATTGTGTAATTCAGTTTTGCACTGTGAAGATCTAGCTTCCAACAATGTGCAGCTGAGCATATCGTTATGAAGGTCCAGGTTATGTATGCAGGTGTTACACAAGCTCAGCTTCTGTTTTCAGTAAAAATAGCTGAATTCTAAACATGCTGAAATATCTGGGGTCAAATGGCGGCTACATGCGTTTCCCTGCCTTTCCAGTTCCTTAACCAGCAGGGAACCAGAGAAGGGGAAGCAAGGGGAGCTCCCGGGCTTGGAGAGGGGCTGTAGCTCAGGGTGCCCTTGCAGGCTGCAGGTCCGTAGCTGCTGTGCAGGTACCTGGTGCTCCCGAGCACGGACAAAATGCAGAGCAGCCGCAGATGCTCTGAGGCTCAGATGCTCTGAGGAGATTCAGGATTCAGGATGGCAGGTGATCTAGGGGTAAGCATGGCATAAAGCAGCATGAAGCTGCCTCTGCAGCCATCCCCGGAGCAGTTCTACGTGATCTTTGGTTGCAGAAGTCTTCAAAGGGTTCATTAGAATTTCTGATATTTTTTTCGGTATTAAGATAATCCACTACATACCAAAATTTGTACTTTTCACGGGATTTGTCAGTGTATTTTCTTAAGCAGAAAGGAGGAACTTGGTGTAAAACATTAAAGGGTGGTCATCATTTGCCAGGGTTTGAATACCCAATTCAACCTGTCTGAAAAAGAAAAATAAAAAAATAAACTTGGGCCAAAAATGAAAAGGCCACATTCAGATAAGAAATTTTGCAAATCCTGGTTGTGGGAGTGATTGGATCAGCTTCTTATAGAAAAGCTACTAGTTATATAACTGATTTGGGTTTAGGCATTTGACTCTGAACTTTTGGGTTGACTTTCTTTTTTTGAGAAATGTTGGAAAATGTCGTGAGAAATCACTCCTAACTACCTCGCTACATTAATCCTTATTACAAAAAAATGACTTTTAGCATATTTGTCTTCTAAGGAATCACATTCAAACACAAGTAGAGCCAGAGCAGTGGCGTTCTTTTATAGTTGATTGAGTTTACACTTGACAGTTCTCTGCTGATATATAAGCTCATGGAGGAATCTCACAGTATGATCCCTTGAGACATTCAAAACTAGCATAAGTCAATTTAAAACAGATAAAAAATATTGTTTTTTCTGTGCAATGAGTAACGAACTTCTGGAACTTGTTGCTGCAGAAGGATATGGAGGCGGATGGCATCAGGCAGGGCAGGAACAAACTCGGGGACAACAGGTTTTAAGGTAAATATTTGCCAGAGTAGGCAGAGCAGTGCTCCAACACCCGTAGTACGTTAGGTTTGGGTGCTGGAAAAATAAAGGGTGAATAGATTGTGGAAAGGGCTCACGGGCTTCTCCTGCCCACAGCTTCCTTGTGCCACGGCGAGGAGGGACGCCATGCTGGGCTGGAGCGCCGCTGGTGAGATGCAGCAGGGCAGTACATTTGTATGTTATTGCAGTGTGACATTTCAGAACTCTTTCTTCTGGAAGAGTGAAAAAAAAGAGGTGAAAGAAGCACTGCATAAATAATCAAAGACATGTGAAATACTTCTTACAAGAAAAAATAATATACACATCATTACCAAGTTCCAAATCCAACCCTTCTCTGCATTCATTACTCAGAATACTGTTTAATTTTCAAATGGGCAGTCACTGAATTATCAGGTTATATAATTTATAACATAATCCCTGTAGTTTTCTATAGCTTGCTGATTATTCTTTTTCTTTTTTTCCTTGTTCTATGCTGTTCATCATGACACATAGTTTTCTTGACAGTGTTAGAAGTGAGAGTAGGATTTTGTGTCTGATGCAGAGATTTTTCCTTGATCTCTTTGGGAAAAAAAAGAAGATTGGAATCCATTATTAAAGTGCTGTATGGGCACTCAAGGCAGAGCCAGAGCAGTTAACTAATTGCAGGTTGTACTCAAGGCAGTACAATGTATTTTTTCATTTCTCATCCAGTTTGATATCTTAATCTTTTCATATTTCTTGTCTTTTCCTATCTATTGTTTGCAAAAAATCTGTGTTGTTTAATTAAGCTATTTTGATAAACGGATTGCTGGCTAGAGTGGGAAGGTGTTTGAAGAAGACATTTCTCTTGCAGCGCTTTACAAAGGAGTATTCACCTCTATGACATTTAGCAAGACTTGACTTGCAGCAGTGAGAGCAGATACACTTGCAGATTTTAAGTAAGCACAAAAGAAAAAAAAAACCCAAGCCCCTGTCCATAACCCCTTCCCAAAGCCTGGGGAAACACAGCAAAAGGCTCTGAAGTGAATTCATCTTCCCTCTTTCAAAACCCAATGCATTACAAGCCTTATATCAAGAATTTTATTCTAAGAGGAAAAGAAAAAGACAAGTGACAAAGACGACGTGCAATAACCGCTCGCCTCTTTCTTAAGGTATAAGCACAGCTCTTCCCAGACACCCTCTGTGTTTTCCTGGGAGCTGCCGGTCCCCGCTCCCCGCAGGAGCCCTTTCCTCAGCACTTGGCTCTGCCCAGTGCCACAGCTCACGCCCTTGGCATGGCAGGTAGCAGCAGCTCAGGCCTTTGCTGCCTGTGCTGCTCTGCAGTGGCTGCTCTTGCTGCCCCTTAGCAAGAGCCGCTGTTAGCAGAGACTCGCGTGGCCTCACTCTCCTGCGGGGGACCCTTTGCTCATGTCTCTCTGCTTTCCTTTGATCTGCGATGCCTCACAGCTTCAGACCAGGAAGGGCTGACTTTTGCACTTTATTGCAAAAACTTTTTTAGCTAGCTTTTATCAGAAATGTGCCTAAGCCTGATGGGACGGCGTATGTAAACACACCATGTCTTTGTTCATCTCCCTGTTTGATCTGCCAGGTGTAAACAGGGTATATTTTCTTTCTGGGCTCTCCTCCCTTTAGAGATTGTGGGTTCCTCTTTCAGCCATTGGCCACTAGGCTTATATCGTTCTAGAGAGGTGAGAAATCATCTGATCTTTAGTAGAAACATTGTTGGGTAAACAGAATCTGGGCCTTATACAGAAAATAAACGTGTTGTGCTGAATGTTCACAGGCAATAGTTTTAATCCTGTAAGCTATAAAGTTGTTACTTTATACTACGAGCAGCTTGCTTTTAATTCACTGCAAGGCATTGCTCCCCCACAGGATGGACCTTTTCCAAGTATGTAGAAAGCATTCTGGTCTGTTCTTCCATCCTCCTCTGCAGTGCTTTGAATTGTGCCTGAAGGTGCGTTATTTTGCAGGAGTTATCTAGGACCTTGGAATTCCTCTTGTGTTTCATCGCACGATAACTTTTCCCTGCTTGGATCACCAATGTCACTTCTGGATGTTGAGGAAGTCCTCAACATTATTCCATGGTGTGATGTTGGTAGACAGGAAAATGCAGCAGCCGCTACCCAACTATGCAGCACGTTGCCAGGGACACCTCCTGCTTGTGAGACAGACACAGTCGCACAAATTTGCTTTGGTTACGATCTTCTAAGCAGTAGCCCTAGATTCCCCTCTTTGCATTGGCTTCAGTGGGAGAAGAGAAATCACCAGAAGGAAGAGGTTGATGCTTTGATGCTCCCCCACAGGATGGACCTTTTTTTCTTCAAACAGCATCATTGCATTGTATAATGTATTGCGTAATGCCAGAAAACTGTCCCACAAAACTAGGTCACCAGGCCTGGCTGCAGAGGCTCAGAGCAACGGTGAGTTCCCTAGAGAGGTGTGCGGCGCTTGCTGCAGGGCGCAGGCACCGCCTGTTGTGGAATTTCCCTGCGACACCCCCAAGCAAGGTCTGCAGAGGTTCATGGTGAGCAATTGTCAAAAAGTTTCTCCGTGTTTCACAAATTCAATTTGTCTCACGAGCAGCAGTATTAATGAGGCCTGCTTTCTATAGATATGATACACATTTCTGCAGCGCACCTCCTCCACTTGTTATTCCTAGCATTCTGCATCCTCAAGGCTCTTTCTCTCATTCCTGCCCAAATCTCTCCTATATCTCCTCCTTTTTTGACTAGTAAATTTGCAACACAATCTGTGTCTGGCTTGGAGCCATTCTGCTTGTCCGGCCTGTGCCTTGCCTGGGTGGCTGCTGCAGCTCAGGGTGGATAAGGAATTATCCATAATATAAGGTGGATAAGGAATAGCCTCCCTCCTCCGTGAGGACTCTATTTTGGCCTTTTTCTTCACCAGTTTTTATGAAACTCTTAGGAGCTTCATAACCTTAAGATCTCATCTCTCAAGTTTTGTTCAAACAGAGTTAAAGTTGAGAAGCTGTTTGGAGGAGGCCACCTGACAGGTGAGCAGTGTGAAAATGTAGTTACAAAAGTCCAGTTCCTTAGAAATGTCTCCCAGAGCTGATATAGGGAATTTAAAGGGTTTCAGCATTCCTTTTCTGGTCTGCAGGATCCTTGTCTTGGCAATTCCTGGAACAAGCCACCATGATTTCAAGTTGATGTCCTTAAGGATATGTTTCCTGCGAGACTGATCTGTTTGCTAAGGGACTTGAAAGACTGGAGGAAGACATTTGATGTTAAGAGTGGGGTCTTTTCTTAAAATGTAAACTTGAAAATTGTACTCGTAAATTGTAATAGAATAACATGAGTAAAGTGTTGGCAACTCTTGAAATTTTATTGCCTTTATGATTATATGTGGAGACATCCTTAAACTCTGCCTTTGAAATCTATAAATTATATGTGAATTACAGTTCTCATTATCATGTAATCTCAGAAATGCAGAAAAAACATCAACTTTGGAGTGAGTACAGGCAGCAGGTGTTGAAATCAGGAGCTAAACAGAGTCTAAAATAACTGACTATGTA